TATATAAACAATTTATACATCCCTCCGTCTATTCATGAGTCCGCCAATGCATATTATGATCGTTTAGCAAGTATCCATTTGTGGGTCTGTACATATATATCTGTTTGCTAGTCAATTTGTCTGTCTGTCTGTCTTTCTATGGATAAAATCAATTTGTAATCCTAGCATTTCCTGGCGCACGGTATTTAGAAAGCAAAAAACAAGAAAAAAAAAGAATGCAGGTGAAGCAACACCGGGCGTTACCCTTCCCTAGAGAATCAACGCTAGTCGCTCCATTAGTGGTCTGTCGCCGAGTTGTCTGAAGATGCTACTTCGAGCTAAAGTAGAGTAGACATTTTGCTCGACATGTCGGTTCTGCTGAATCGAGACAGAGTGGAAAGTCAGTTGGATCAGCCCGTAATTCTCAGACTGAAATTGGTACATATACATTAATAAAAGTTGTCCTCAGCTTAATATATATAGAGAGAGAGATTTTATATAAGATATAAAAGAATTTTTTTACCTTCTGGCATAAGGCTATTGTCAGAATAAGCATAATGTGTATTGCTCTTTAGAGTATGTATCTACGAGTATATAACCCCAGAGGTTTTGTTATCAAATTCCTGCATGTGGTTGAATGATGCATCTGATTATGTGATATGTACATTTTGTCCGCTTTACTTCTCTTTTCATGTTGAATTTTAATGAGAGTAATATAATTTAGATTTTTTAAATATATACCTGCGTGTGTTTTACGGCCCTGTACTGCCAAGAAAAATTTCCCTCAGGGATAATAAAGTATCATCTTATCTTATATGGTATTGTTAGAAGTAGGTCCTCGTATGACCTTATGTAGTTGCGAGCGCCGTAAAACCTCTACTAAAACTAAGAAGTAGGTCAAGTACAATTATGTTACAAAGAAGGATAGCTTTGATGAAAATGAAATGATTGTGCAGTCAAGCCTGCGTATCACTCAGTCGGTGTAAGAGAAATTCGATTTAAGCTCTTGACGAGTCTCTTCAATTGTATTGTCCGTAATGGTTCCATTACAAACAGCCCTTTCGACTTTTCTGTGCCTGAATCGGGCTTGGAATATTCATTCACCAAAGCAACACAACAGCAACCATAACAACACAACAACAACAACAACAACAACAACAACAACAACAACGGCAACAACATCAACAAGAACTATTGCTACTACTGCTACTACTGCTGCTGCTGCTGCTGCTGC